TCTCTGGCACGCTAACTGCAAATAAAGCTAGAGTTTATGCTGAACCTGCTCTGACTGGGCTGTGAGAGCCTGAGTGGCTCATAGTCAGTCAGCCTCCCTCCTGTAGTCCCTGTGCTTACGAAACAACCATTAAGATCACATTTAGCGAAGGTTAAGGAACTGAACCGCGTGAGTACAATGGTTTGAGATCCTCATCCATATACTTGGCAAAACTGTTTGTTCACAGCGTTCCGCCACGGTCTATTGGCGCCATCTTTCAAAGAGGCTTCCTTCAAGCACCCTCAAAATTAGATGACGCATTAAGAATTCTATTTAAAGTAGACATTAAGGTGGGAAATTAAGACAAAATGCTGTAAAACAACCAAGTAAAGTGGCAGAGCAATCGGTTCTTGCACAAGTTAGTAGGTCTTGTGCTTTAGTCCTGGAAGGAATGGTTTTTCCATCGGAAAAGCTGATAAAATTAGCCACCGCTTTATACCCTCCTATGCAGGCTCGAATTGGATTGTTTTAAAGAAACACCATCACTGGGTTTGCTATTTGGACAAGTATCAAAATAATTATAAATTGAAAGGGAAAACAAGAGATTTTCTTTGTCTAGATGAATGAAGTATGACAGGCAAAACGCGTATGTACAATTGCACACTAATACACACTGGTACACTGTTTTCCCACTTTCAAGAAGCAAAAAACCACTCAGAGATGCAAATCTATGGGGTCCATGAAGGTCGTTTACTTTGGCGCTCCTCTGTAATGCAACACTATACTCATTCCTAATTCGAAGACGCCTCTCATTAGGGTGGCATGTTTCATGGAAACTCAAAGTCCCTCACAACTTCTGATTAGGTTGGAAAGGTGTTTTCAAGGATATCAGTCTGCTAGCGTTTTTTGCAACAGCAATAGGCAATTTCGAAGAAACGTATTAAGTATAAGAGACAACTTAAAGAAGTGTAAAAAGTGTTGAGAGTTTGATGAGAATGCTGACAAAATTCGGACAGGATTGCATTTCCAGAATTTCAATCATTAGCTGTGCGCAAGTCATCTGGATGTGAGGTCCTCAATAGTACCCCACGCAAACACACACAACAGCTGCTCTTTTTTCATAAGCAGCAGCAGCAGCAGCAGCAGCAACGAAAGGAGAAATGCAATCTTGCTCTTCCTCCTCCTCCTCCTCCTCCTCCTCCTCCTCCTCTTCCTTCACCACCTCCAAAAATATCTCTTATTTGGGCGCAGGCGTGCTTGTTAGGCGGGTGAAACACGGCCTCTTGCCTTAGTTGTCGCCCTCGCTCGCCTCCTTCCAGTAGCCACCTCGTCCGACTACTGCGCTACCACCCATCTTTGTACCAATCTGAATACCTTTTAGTCCCCGTCCCTTCGAGAGAATGATAATGCAAAATGTATCCTCCTCTCCCTCCCTTACTCCTCCTTCTCTTCATGGCAGTATTAATAACAGTCCCCCTGGCATTCCTTCCCAACGCACGCATACAACCACATAGAAGGA